GCCACCAGGGAGGGCCCCAAATGGTTGTTTTTACAGAAAAAAAAATTCTAGTTTGGTTGGGGACTTATGTATAAAGTGCTAAATTTTAAAAATCATTCTTAGAATAAAATACAAGACTAAGATTCTGCAAAATTTGAAACATACCTGCATATGGAGCCATTCCTAAAATAGTAGGCATCAAGCCTCTGTAAAATCCAAGGAAACCGCCTTCCTTTTGAGTAAAGAAACATTTTAGAAGTGAAATCACTTGTACACATTATAAAAAACATCAAAGAACAAAAGCATACATTATAATGGAAAAATTATTTTGGGATACACACTAAAACACAGGTGTGTTTTCATAATTACTACTAGTAATACTTGCAAATAAAAGAATAAATTTTAGATAACATTCAAAACATTTTCCTAGGAAATGTTATATACCAGAATAATAATATGAAATACCTTTGCATAAATTGTCTTGAATGCATGAATAATTCCTGTATAAGTGTGTTCCCCTTTCACTTGGAATGCTAGGCGTACTCTAACCATGTCAAGAGGGTAAGTACAGATAACTGCTGTCATACCTGAAAAGAAAAGTAGAAACTTAAATGTAGGAGCTGTAGTAGAAGCTTTTGTTTGAATGAGGTGACTCTGAATGGGGTCTTGGAGAGATGTCAGTAACCATAAAGAACACACCATAATTAAAAGGTTGAGATTTGGGGGAGCTGGAAATGGAACTATAATTGATCATATCTATAAGAGGAAGAGTCCATAAAATCTCAAAGGTATAGAGCTTGGAGAACTTCCAGGTGAGTAAACACAACTACAGTGGGATGGTAATATAACCCATTCATCAGACACAGAAACTCTTGTATTGAGAACCCTCACCCTATGTAGCTCTTCATCTGAAACCTTTATCAGATAAAAATAATTGTTTCCACGAGTTCTGTGAGCTGTTCTAAAAATAATCAAATCCAAAGGGAAAATGGCTATGGGAACCTCTGATTATAGCCAAATCCAACAGAAGTTGTGACTAACCTGGGGGCCTATTACTTGTAACTGGGACTGTGGGGTCTGATACTATCTCCAGGCAGACAATACAGTATGAAAAGTGAACTAAATTTCTAGACATCCAGCTGGTGGTACAGAATCAATTTGTGTGGGGGTAAAAATCCACACAATTGGTGATCATAAGAGTCACAAGTGCTTATATGCTTAATAAAAGAAACATGGAAGACAGCTAGGTTTTCCTAACTAAATATATATGGAGATGTGTGTGGAGTTGGAGTAGGGGGCAGGTAGGTAGTTCTTTCATATCAATTATGTGCGCCCTCAAATTATAGCAATACTATGAAAAGCCAATGAAATAAAAAATGGCATTACTGATAGAAGTACATGATAATATCATCTGCTGGAAAACAGCCTGTCAGTAAAGGGTCAGTTTATAAAATCTTCTCAAGTTTATCCCACTGTCAAACTTGCATTATTAGTACCAAAATTTGTGGTATAAGTATAAATAAGTGTAATTGGATTGTGAATAATTTTTAAAATTCTATTACTTCTTTAAAACCAGGTATCAGTTTGTTTTCAGAGGCAACAGAGCACTTGTTCGTGAGTCATATAACCCAAGCATGAGGACTCTAACCCACACAGAACCAAGAGATCACCAACATGGAACAATGAAAGAAGGAACTTTACCCAGACTACATTCAAAAGCAAAGAGTGAATCAACAACTCTCCAGACTATTCAGAAGTGAAGGACCTATCAACAAGAGCTATTTTCTATGGAAAATGGGAGAGAATTTTTCCATATACTGATATGGAAAAATTTTGCAATCCTTAACTTCTACATTCCTAGCATTTTTCCCCTTCCCTCCTCCATTAAACCAATCTTAGCTGGTCAAACTCACAATAAACTTTCATGCGTGTTAGCCAGAAAGCCCATTTCTGAGTAAAGCTAGCATTAAAAGAAATAACTTAGGGCATCCTTCGTGGTGCAGGCGTTAAAGTCTCAGTGCTATCAAGCTATCACCAGCCACTTCAGCCTGAGTTTGATCCCTAGCCAGGAGATCTAATCACATGGCCTAGCAAACCTCTCCTGTCTCATCTGCTGTTCTCCTCAGCAGTGTATTTCACTAGATCCACCTGTTCTGCTCCCTGCTCTGTCTCTGGTGAATCCTCTCACTTATCTGTACCTCTGGCCTACACTCCAACTCTGTATGCATAAATAAATAAATCTTTTTTAAAAAGAAGTGACTTACATTGACTATGGTGGAGGATTTTGGGGCTCCAGTGATGAGTATAGTATAACAATGCCCCCCATTAGCTCAAAAATAAAAACACTGTCTTAGTTACTCTAAAGAAATTACAACATGTATATAATTGAACTTGTTACTTTTCCACAAATGAGACTGATATTAATTTTTAAAAAAGATTTATTTGTACATACAAGAGTTGGGGTACAGGCCAGACATGTGGGGTGGGAGGTAGGGGGGGTGAGAGGATTCACCAGACACAGAGTGTAGAGCAGCACAGGCAGATTAAAATACACTGCTGAGGGGAGCAACAGTCAGGTCAAGAGAGGTCTGCCACACCATGTGGTTCGCCTCCCCAGCTAGAAATCAAACTCATGCTTCAGTGGCTGGCAAGTGTGTCATAGTGCTGTGCTTTAACCCGCTGCACCATCAGGCAGGGCCCCAATATTAATTTGTTTTTGTTACACAAGCCCAAGAAAGCTTCATAGGCATGGTGCTTCCAGAAAAATCTCAGGAAAAATATTACAAACAATAGTAGCTGTTAGGGTGGCTCTAAAAGAATGAATGAGGAGATTCAATTACTGTATAAACTGAGGTGTATAAATTATAAAGTTCTCCCAAAACACGGAGGCACCAAAATAGTTCTGCATGATAAGAATTATTGCTTATTTAGCAATAATTTTTCTGGATTTAAAAAAAAAAATTCTTCTATTGGTAATTATTTAAATTACATTTTGGTAAGATAAAATTGCAATGACTATTTTTGTTTTTAAATATCACTATATGTGTGTGTGTGTGTGTGTGTGTGCAATTTTTAAAAATAAATTCACAGAGGCCCTCCCTGGTGGCGCAGCGGGTTAAAGTGCAGCACTAAGAAGCTTAAAGCCACTTCCCGCCTGCCCCTCAGGTGACCACATGGTGTGGCAGACCTCTCCTGACCCACCCGCTGCTCCCCTCAGCAGTGTACTTCGTCGATCTGCCTTTTCTGCTCCCCACTCCGTCTCTGGTGAAGCCTCTCGCTGCCCCTGAGCTTCTGGCCTGTACCCCAGTTCTGTATGCACAAATAAATCTTAAAAAATAAATAAATAAATAAATTCACAGAACTTACCACACAATCTAGGTAATGCTTACAATCAGGGATAAGTATAAATTATTGAGTAGGGTCCTCCCTGGTTACGCAACAGGTTGAAGCTGCCATAACCCACTGCACTGGAATTCAATCCCCAGCTAGGAGGGTGACCCACATGGTACAGCAGACCTCTCCTGATACACCCACTGCTCCCTCAGCAGCATATTCCAGTACATCTGCCTGTTCTGTTTCCCACTCTGTCTCTGATGAAACTTCTCACGCCCTCACACCTTCAGCCTATACCCCAGTTCTTGCATGCATAAATAAATACTGTTTAAAATTATTGAATAAATCATGTTGGCACAAACATGACAGAAATTTTGATGAAAATTTTTAATTAATCCCTTTTTCATAAGAATAAATCTAAAAAAGCTCACATATGGCTCTCCCTGGAAGTGTAAGGGGTTAAAGCACAGTACTATGAAGCTCTCCCAAGCCACTGCAGCACAAATTCAATCCCCGGCCAGGGAGATGACCCACATGGCACCACAGACCTTCCCTGTCTTGCCTGCTGCTCCCCTCAGCAGAGTATTTCAGTTGATTGGCATGTTCTGCTCCCCACTCTGTCTCTGGTGAATCTTCTCACCATCCCCCCCCCCATCTCTGGCCTGTACCCCAGTTATGTAAGAATAAATAAACATTTAAAATAAATAAATTTTTTGAAAAAAAAAAAAAAGCTCAACATACTAAAAATAGTTTTAGTAGGAAAAATGATTGTTTTTATCTTAGAATGAGGAAGCCATTTCTAAGTACAACAAAAAATTTGAAGCTACACAGGGAAAAAATAACCTATTTGGTTATATAAAATGTCTATCATGGAGAAATTTTTTTTTGTCGGGGGGGTTAACTGTTAAAATCTTAAATCTTTTCTTTAAGATTTTAAGTGAAAAGGTTTATTAGGAAAAGGAGAAAGAAAAAGAGAATTAACTGCATAGTCACAGGTGGACAGAAGAGGTTTGTGAAAAGAAACACCTGCGTGGCCAAGGGCTGGCAGGAGAGCGGCACCCTGCCAGTGGGTTGCCTCTGAGAAAAGTTTCACCACAGTTCCCCTTTCAGCCACATGGTGAGTTTTCCCATGAAAGAGACTCTTTTAGTTATTTCCAAAAGGGCAGGTTTATTATATAAAAATGGAAAGGAGAAATTCACCTACATAAACATAAATGGGCAGGAGAGCGGCCTACCTTTTTAAAAATATTTTCATGAGTAAAGTTAAAAGACAAATCTAAAAACTAGGAAATATAAAATTAGCAATATTTGACCAAAATATAATGTCCTACTTTCTGAATTCATAAAATTGAATGCTCCTAGTGGAGCAGTGGGTTAAAGGTCACACTACAAGCCAGCCACAGCCGCCTCAGTGCCAGTTTAATCCCAGCCCCGGAGGTGATCCACACAGAGCAGCAGACCTCTCCTGTCTCGACCGCTGCTCCCCTCAGCAGTGTACTTGGTCAGTCAACCTGTTCTGCTCCCCACTCTGTCTCTGGTGAATCCTCTCACTGCCCCTAACCTCTGGCCTGTACCCTAGTTCTGTATGTATAAATAAATAAATCTTCCCCCAAAATAAAATAAAATTGAATATTAAAAAAAAACCGAAATAATACAATAGTCAATAAACATTTGACAAGCTGACCAAACTTATTAATTGACCAATATTAAAAAAAAATTTAAGGCCCAGTGTTGCTACAATTATATATAGAGAAAATGTCAATACCAGCATTATGGAGATCAGTTTGGCAATGTCTATCAAAATTTAAATACATAATGTGTTATTTGTGAAACAAAAAGTGAAGCTATCCAAAATTTCAATAGGGGACTGATTAAATAAATTAGGGTAATAGAATATAAGACAATTTAAAAAAATAAGAATCATATACTGATATAGAAAAGAGTCTTGAGATAGCTATAAAAGATCATGTACTATAGAATAGCATTTTAAAAAGCATACATAAGAAATTGCTAGTAATGAGAACTATTTTCATCATATATAGTATGTATTACTATAATGATAATTTCAAAATAATTTTTGAAAGCAAAAATAAACACAACCAGAATGAAACTGTAAAAGGAAGTGTATGTTTTTCATAGATGTATCTTTAGAATATTCCTTACCTTCTCTTTCTAATAAAATACCCTTTTGGGGGGCCTCCCTGGTGGCACAGCACTATGAAGCTATCTGCAGCCACTGTAGCACGAGTTTGATCCCCAGCCAGAGAGGTGACCCACATGGTGTAGCAGACCTCTCCTGTCTCGCCCACTGATGCCTGGTGAATTCTCTCACCCCTTGTACCTCTGGCCCGTACCCCAGTTCTTGTATACATAAATAAATCTTTAAAAAAAAATAAAAATAAAAAACCATTTTTGAATCAGGATATTAATGATTTCTTATAATTGAGTATAAAAAGTAAACAAATGTGTGCTATCTAAACATAAAATATTATAATAGAAAATTAATTTGTCAGGAAAAGAACACCCATTCCCCTTACCTGCCATAGATCCAGCCAATAACCTGTGTACATGACCAGAAACTCCCAGTTTTGTGGTAATTAACTAGAAATAAAAAAAATTAAATGAGGTATTTTAAAAATAAAGATGTTTTAATAACATTTATTATTTTTAAAATGCTATTTTAATAATGAAGACATTTCAAGAGTAACAAAACTAAAAAAGGGAAAATTAGTATTAAATAAAAGTGAAATGAGCACAATTACTGGACAGTAAAAGCCAGGTATTTTCATTATAGCCTCTGCTGTAATTGTGCACTTTTTACAAAGCCATCTAGCTTAAAATTGCCAAATACACTATGTTATACAATGATGACCACAAATATTTAAATTGTAAATGGGTAGTAGGAGTAAAATACTTCTAGGAACAATTAAGTCTTATTACACTGATGGGATCAATTCTACCTGACTGACTAGCTTAGAATGTTTCCATTTCTACTGCTTACTTGTCATTTTAAGATACTCTGTGAACTCTGACTCAACATTTTCTGCATTAAGATGTTTGAGAAGATAAACTCTTCCTCACCAGAGAGGAGAAACTTAATGAGTAGGACTGGAAAGCTGTTAACTTATAGCATCACTCAAAAACAGACATTCACAATACAGCTATACTATCTTACTTAGTAAAAAAAAAAATCAAAGCCACATGTACCTCTCCTACAGTGAGAAGCAAAAAAACACATTAAGAAGCTTTTAATATTTTATAAATATATATATTATTATCTAGTTGAAAGATACTTTGGCTCTTCTTCATCAGTGTGAATATAAACAATTTGCTCAAAAATGACTAACAATTGTTAAGGATGGTTCCATAACCGATTTATAGTTTTAGTCCCATAAAAAGGCATTACTTTATCTATACACCCAAAGTAATCTGAAGGGCAAAACCAAATCCTTGTCCATTAAAGGCAACAAAAGAGGAAAAGAAGATAAAACTTCAAGTACCGTTTTATAATGTTCAAATGCCATAAACTGGATGGCACCATAGGGGAAGATTCGAATCATCATTGCACCATTCCCTTTGTACAATCCAAGGTATCCCTCCTTTTGGGGAACAGCACATAATGCAGAAAATACTCCTAGTGAAGAAAGATTTTTAGAAGAAAAATACTATAAAACAGAGAAAACTACTTAAATTCAAACTTTCATGACAACGATTATAAATCCATTAGTCATCCTATAATATTGCTTGAGGAATTATAAGGAAAATAATTTCTATGCACTTAAATCTACTTAAAAATGTAGCACATGTCCAAATTATATAAAGATACCTCATATAAAAATATAAAACATTATAGAAAGAACAGCTGCAGATTATAATAAATTATATTTATAATTATTGCAAATTATATTAAACTATAGTAATCTGGAAAATGCTGACAACAGACATATATTCATGTCGAGAGGCTAACCTATAGATAACTTACTCTGTCTGAGAGGATGAACACAGTTTTCCCTAAGTGTCTCAGATACAAGTATAGTTTGTTAACATAAGGGAACTATTAAATAAAAGAAACAAAAAACTAAATCTATCTGAATTTAGGGGGGCAAACTTTCACTACTAGGATTTTTTAATTAGGAATAAAGATAAACAAAGCCCTCACTTATGATGCCATATATTGATGTTTATTAGTTTCATTAGTACCAATCATCAATCCTATTTGCTAATTCTCGTAATCTTATTACTACTTCCAATATGTAACTATTTAAATTCAGATTCCCTTCTAAACTTTTCAAACAAAAAAGCACAATAAACAGAAAACAAAATAAGATGATCAATGCTCACTGAAAATTCTCAGTGATGTAAATTCCTCTGTTAAAAATAAAAGAATTCTCAAATGCTGTTAAAAGGCTCTATCTGACCATATGTTGTTGTTTTTTCTTGAAAAAAAAAAAAAACCCTTAAAACAACAGACAAGAGGGGAAGAATGGATGTTAAGTGTTCTCAAATGGCTTTAAAATATCCATTCAGTTCATAATGCTTTATTTTCTCCTTCAACATACAGTCTGTATCTGTATTTTTACTTTGGGAAATGAATTTAAATTTTCTTTATGTCATAACACTGGACCAATTTTTGTAAATGTTACCAGTATGTTTAAGAGGAATACTTATTCCATGTAGAGTGTAAAGTCTCCTGTTTAACTTAGGGGTTACACAGGTGGCGCAAGGGGTTAAGTCTCAGCACTATGAAGCAATCTGCAGCCACTGCAGCAGTAGCTCTATCCCCTGCCAGAGAGTTGACCCACATGGCACAGAAGACCTCTCTTGTAACCAGACCTCTCCTGTCTTGCCAGCTGTTCCCCTCACCAGTGTCTTTCAGTCAATCAGCCTGTTCTGTTCCCCACTGTTTCTGGAAAATCTTCTCACCTATGGCCTACACCTCAACTCTTGTATGAATAAAAAATCTTTTGAAACAGTTAAAAAGCAATTTTAAAAACTATCTTAGGCATATTAAAGAATGTGTACAACAAGAAGCTCAAAAACATTTTTAAAAATAGAATAAAAAATCACTAATACTTTTTCTCTTTTGGCTTATGTTTTACAACAACAAACAGCTCCCTATACTATATAGACTAGGAGTTCCATTTCAGACTTTGCATGCCTTGTAGGATAGACTATAGCCCATGGCATGCAGTCCTGTAGAGCGTGAAATTTAATGTGAATATGTAATTTAATGAGTACAAATCAGGAAACAAAACAACATACATCAGCACGGGGGAGGAAAGTTAAAGGTATGAAACAATCTTGCTGAGACATTCATAGTTGGGTCATTGTAAAATACCCTAAGAAACTGGGTAGTATAATTTATCCTCTTTCCACCACCAATTTAGACAACAAAAGAAAATCATTTCTTTCCTTTCCAGTTTTATATAATCTCTCAGCAAGTACAAATACCTGATTCTATCTATACATGAGCAGTACACTGTGAAGATAGAGAATTCATTGTTGGTAGAAACAGTAGCCTTTTCCTTTCAATTTTAAGTACAGCTTTATAATATGAAAAACATTAACAAGAAAATGAGCTACAATTAACATGTAACATAAATATCCATACTAAATAATAAATATCCATTCTTTTGAGAAAAATCCCATTTAAAAAAACTCAACTGGAAAAATAACTGATTCTGATTCACTCTGTTGAACATCTTTCTTACACACTGAGGCTACATAGCTGGTGCACAGCACACATCATTCCTATTTACTGAAGTATGAAGCTATAAAGTAATGGGGTGGTATGAATTAGTTGCCTTGACCTAATTTCTTTCTTAGTCACTGTCCACATTGTTCCATTTTTTTCCCTTTATATCCTTTACCCTCTAATTGAAAATATTATATACATATATTCAACGTGCAATACAAATTAGCTTAAAAGAAAAATATTTCCTATAATCCCATAGCAAAAATTAATCATTCGATGTGTGTCCGTCCAGTCTTTTGCCTAACCATGTTTATTTATAAAGAATGAAACATAAAGGCCTCCCTGGTGGCACAGGGGTTAAAGACAGTGCTATCATGTTACTCCAACCACTGTAGCAGGATGCAATCCCTGGCTGGCCAGGGAGTTAACCCACATGGCACAGCAGACCTCTCTCCTGTCTGGCCCTCCGCTCCCCTCAGCAGGGTATTTCAGTCAATCTGCCAGTTCTGTTTCCCACTTTGTCTCTGGTAAATCTTCTCACCCTGCAGCTCCCCACACCTCTGGCCTGTACCCCAGTTCTTATATGCATAAATAAGTAAATCTTTTTCAAATGTAATGTAATTTAACCATTTTCTAATATTTCTAGTGCATTTAAAGTTGTTCCAAGTCAACTAATACTCTTTTATTATAACTTTTTAGAATTAAAAAGTAGTCTAATATGAACTTATTTATCAATATTTAAATAAGTAATACTTAATTAACTTGGCCAATCTCCTATTATTGACCATTTTGGTTGCTTAAATATTTTTTTGTTTTCTTTTTAAAAATATTATTGAAATAACATTGTTTTAAAAAGATAGGGTTTAAATGTTAATATATCTTTTACCAACATAAATGATACTTCATTCCTTGTATATACATCCTGGAACATATGTCTCATTTCTTCTTTAGTACCTTCCTACAACTAAAACTGCAAAGCTAAAGAGTATGTCTTTTCAAGACTTTTAATGTATATTACCAAAATATCCTCCAAAAAAAATTGTAAAAACCTTTATCCCACCAATCATGTATTATTATTAGAGTATGCAATAAGGGTGCTAAGTCCATTCATAACTGATCTTTATGTATCTAAGAAATAACAAAGGGCTTGATTTTTTTTTAGCAATACAAGCTTATTCACATATATTAACTGCATTGTACTCTGTGTATACTAAGATTTCCAGAAAGATTAAGTGTTTACAAGAATAACCCTTAACTCCATCATAAAAATGGATTCAAAAAAACATGAGATGTTATGTCTGCAAAGAATATAATTTGTTAATCCTAACAGATAGTTCTTACTACTCCATGATTTTGTTTTAGATACCTAAAACAGTACTCTACAATGATATATAACCATCACTGCAAATGAAAAGATTAAAATAAGAGATATCCCTTACAAAATTTGCCACAAATTTGAATTCCTTTGTGTCCTCTTTCCACTATAATCCACAACTGTATAATGCTGTCATTCATTTATAGCTTTCACATTCATTAACTCACCTAAATGTTTATAATGGTGATTGTGAGCTTGTAATAAAACCTTTACTCGATCCAAAGGAGCAACTGTTGTCTTGGCACAGCATCCAGCAATACCTAAAAATTTTTGAAAGGTCAGAAATAAATTACACATTTTTTCCAGATGGAAATCATTATTTGTTCAGTCAGCATACCTTCTGGTCTCTAATCTGGTCTCTACTTCCAGCAGCGACATATGCAGAGGATTGGCTCCCACACCCTGTAACTTAATAACTGAGCATTTCAGACTTAAAATTAAGCTTGAAGAGTGTAACTCTGCTCCCTAATACCGTTTGAATCTGGAAATCTTGTGAAATGTGGCTATGGAAACATATTTGAAAGTATTTACCCAACTTTAAGGCTCTGTTTGAAGTAATTTCTTCTACATGACTTTCATTAAAACAATCAACTTTAAGCCAAAAAAAAAATGCAGCTACTCATATATACATTCAGCAATTATGTTCATCCCTACCTATGCTACTGTGACAACTTGTAGATGAGGTAAACTGCATGCACGGGCTTTGTGGGGGTCAGAATCCAGGCCAGTCCACAACCCTGGCATGTATTTTAAGGCAATAATATTTAAATATATAAAGACTTTTGGCTATACACCATCTGTGTCTCTCCAAAATACATGTTAAAAAATAATTTAGGAGGTGTTTAGGTCATGAAGGCCAAGCCCTTATGAATGGGCTTAGCACCCTTATAAAAGAGGTACCAGGGTCTCTCTGGTGGCCTGGAGGTTAAGTATCGTCCCATCACCATGAAGGCCCACCATGACAGCCTGAGTTTGATTTCCGGCCAGGGAGCTGACTCACATGTCAGAGCAGACCTCTCCTGTCTTACCTGCTGCTCCCCTCAGTAATGTATTATAGTAGATCTGCCTGTTCTGCTCTCCACACACTACATCTAATGAATTCTCTCATTACTCACCACCACTGAACCCCTGGCCTGCACCCCAGTCCTAAACAAAAATATTTTTTTTAAAAAAGAAATAAATAAAAGAGGTGCCAGAGAGGCCCCTGGCCTCTTCCACCATGTGAAACACAACAAAAAGGTTCTTTCAGTGAGAAATCAGGTCCTTATCAGACACCAAATCTGCTGATTTCATATTACAGACTTTCCAGCTTCTGGAATTATAAGAAATAAATGTTCATTGTTTATTACCTCTCTAGATGATTACATTTTTTGCTATAGCAGCCAGAACAGACTAAAACACTTTTGCAAAGTACTTTGCTTGAAGTAAATACTTGACAAAATGAGTTATTATTATAAAAGGGTGAATAGAAAGATTTTGTTAATGATTAAACTCTTTACCATTGCATACTGTTACAGAAGGTACAAAAGGACCAGCATTTTTTTCTTTAAGATTTATTTATTTATGCATACAGAACTGGGGTACAGGCCAGAGGTGTAGGGGCAGTGAGAGGATTCACCAGAGACAGAGTGGGGAGCAGAACAGGTCGACTGAGAAAGTACACTGCTGAAGGGAGCATCGGACATGTCAGGAGAGGTCTGCCATGCTATGTGGGTCACCTCCAGGGCAGGGGTCGAATGCATGCTGAAGTGGCTTTAGCTTCTTAGTGCTGTGTTCACCTGCTGCAGCACCAGGGAGGGCCCAGGACCAGCATTTTATGGGTGTCCTTCACTACTGCAGACCAGAGTCCAATGCAGGGCCTGGCACCCCAAAAAGCACTCAATAAATCTGAATAAATGAATGTAGTCTCACTTTACAAAGCTTTTAAAACATAAGTCAAAAATCATTTGACATTCGCATACATTTACTTAATGACCCAGGATGAAACTGATGTTAAAATCCAAAAATAAAATGTCTATTTGTACCCAAATATTAAGTCCATGTACAAGCTTCTGTATCTATGAAATCCATATATAAGCTTCTATATTTCTATATCATACTTCTCTTATGCAGTATAACAGTCATGACTACCCCAAAATGAGGATAAACTAAAAATAATTTGCAGTTGGGTGTATCTGACTTCAGAAGACTTTGTTATATTATTAACTTCTTGGTCATTAGAATTAATGGGTTGTTTACAATATGTTCAATAAGCAGTTTTTTTAAATAATATTTTAACTTATGTCACATTACTTTGTTGCTCAATTAATCATCACAATGTCCACTGAGTTAAGGAGATACAGCTTCCTTTTCAGCAACTTATGTTAAGATATTTGCTGAGGCCATTGCTAAAATATCTAGAAGATGCTAGGCTAGGAAACAAGGTACTAGGCTAGGAGACTTAACTACAGTCACTGTGCCAAGACTTTTATAGATACTATCTCAAGTAAATCATTACAACTTTCTAAAATATACTCTTAGCTTCCATTTTAAAGATAAAGAAACCAAACAACACTAAGTTTAATTCCTAAATAATCCTCAAATTTAGACACACTTTCCAAAAATCTGAAGAAGCACTCGACACACAAATGGTCAATAAGAATATGAAAAGGTGCTCAGCATTATTAGTTATCAGAGAAACGCAAATTAAAACCACAATTAGATACCATTAAACACCTACTAAAATGGAACACAACACATATGCAAATCCTGACAAAACCAAGTGCTGACAAGGTAGGAGGAATACAAATAGAACAAACCCTTTAAGAAACAGTTTGACAGGGGCCTCTCTGGTGAAACAGCGGTCAAGATCGCAGCCCTGTCAAGCTAACCCCAGCCACTACAGGATGCTTTCTGATCCTGTGCTAGGGAGGTGGCCCACACAGCACACCAGACCTCTCCTGTCTAGCCCACTGCTCCCCTCAGCAGTGTATCTCGGTGGATCCATCTGTTTTGCTCCCTACTCTGTCTGGTGAAGCCTCTCAACCCCTGTACCTCTAGCCTAGACCTCAGTTCTTGTGTGCATAAATAAAATAAATCTTAAAAAAAAAACAGTTTGACAAATTTTTATAAAGTTAAACATATGATACTTTTAAAATCCAGCAGCCCAGGAGCCCCATTCCTAGGTATTTATCTAAGAAAAACAAAAAAACATAACTGCATAAAAACCTACTTACAACTTTTCCTAGCCTCTTTACTTAAATAGCCAAAAGCTAGAAGAGAAAGCAAATTTTCACCCACAGATGAAAGTGGTAAATTCATACAATGGAATGTTACTCAGTTAATAAAAGAAACACAATGCTGATACATGCAACATGGATGAATCTTAATTGCATTTTGCTAAGTGAAGGAAGTGAAACCTCAAAAGACTATATATTGCATGGTTACATTTACATAACATAGTGAACAAGGCAAGAACAGAGAGAGAAGATAACCAGGAATAGGAAATGAGAACAAGAGAATGACTAGAAAGGGAAGTGGAAATATTTTGGAGTGATGGAACTATGCTATATTTTGATTGCAGTCAAAATACACCTGTTATACCTTATACCTGTTTGTCAAAAGTAATCTAAAGGTAAAACCTAAGCAGGATGACTTTTATTGCACATAATTTACCATAGTAAAATTGACTTTAAAATAGAAACAGAGTTTCCAGGTTGAAAACACATGAAGATTTAGGGAGGTTGGTGTGCAAGGAGAGCCCGTGGACACGCCTTTCACCATATCTGGCCCTGTTCACCCTTCCATCTGGCTGCTCCTGAGTTACACCCTCTGTAATAAACTGATGATCCAGTGAATAAAAATAAATAAAACAAAACCAAACCAAGCAGGCTCCTAAAAATTTTAGGTTTTTTTAGCAAGCTCCTAAAAAATTTCACAAGTTAATCAAGATCCTTTACAGAGTTTCCAGTATTCACGATCTCTAATTCCTTTCCTCTGTTTAGTAGACTTTACAGAGCAAAGTGTAAGATATATATAGAGAAAAAGCACACATTTTAAGTATGCCACTTAATGAATTACTATAAAATGAATACACCCATGTAGGAACATCTGAATCAAGAAATGAAACATCAACAGCCTCCCAGAAATCTTCCTGTACTCCCCAAATTACTATACGTCTGTTCCTCCTCCTCAAGGACAACCAATCAGCCTTCTGACATCATGAATTTAGATTTAACTAAAATTTATAGTCATACCATGTGCATTCTTTTTGTCTGGCTTCTTCTGTTCAACATTATGTTTGTAAGATTCATCCACTGTTGCACGTAGGAGAAATGTATTCATTTTCAGTGCTGCACAGTAGTTCACTGTATGATTTTTTTAATTGCATTTATTTTTCTAGGCAATGTATGTGATTCTGAAACTGTATGTGACTCAGAAGTATAGGTTCACACCTCTTCAGAAATGTTACCACACCACATCCACCATCAACAACACACCCATAATCCTCCATCACAGTCCTCATTATAAGTTTACACAATACTTTAGCTACATTTACTAATGCTGATGGGCATGTGTGTTGCTTCTAGCTTGGTACTATTAAGACTATCAGACATATGTATGTTAGTATTTACCTAGGAGTGGAACTACTGGATCATAGAATAGATAAATGTTCAGCTCCAAAAACTATCACCAGTACACAGTATATGAGGAGTCCTGGTTACTAAAGTGTCATCTTCTCAATGATACTTACCACTATCCTATTTAACACTGCACCCACTCAGACTCTCCTTGTCCCACTCCTTTTTATTTCTTCTCACTGCATTAATCACCTTTTAATTTATTCTATTTCTTCATATAACTTCCGCATCAATGTAAACTCCAGGAGTGATCTTTGTTCTTAGTATATACCAAGTATGTAGCAGGCACGCAAATATCCCTTTTTATAAATGAATGGCCCTTTTTTTATCAAGAACACCAAAGCAATTAAATTGTTAAGCTATTGCAGCCCTCAGATATTATCTTTCTACAAGTCCTCATGTGAAATTTTTTTAATTCCCAAACTTCATTAGGTGACAACAACCCAAATAATCAATAAAGAAAGAACAGAAACTGAAACACCTGTATGGGACAACTGAGGAAACTTCTGCAGAAGATATGAGCCTTCTGCAGCTGTTCCCAGCCACACCGATAGTAGGATTTACTAGAAGCACTGGACCTACTTTTGGTCGTGGACAGTTTGGCACAACTTTCCAGTCATCTTTAAAAAGCTGGCCTCTGATATTTGTTTTCTTTTTTAAAATGGTAAAATGCAATTCTACACTCGGCCATTCTGTGGTCTTTATAACAGAAAGGGGTGCACAACATGTTTCATTGAAACCTTGGCGTCTTTGGAAGTTACTCTCTTTCCCCCGGCATCCAACCCTGAAGATTGGGTGCCGGTTCGGCCCTTCCACCACACCAGGTGCTCCCCCCTGAGTCTGAGGCCCTTCCTCCCCAGGCCTCAGCTGTCAAACGATGCTCAAACGACCATCACAAATAGATCACAGCAGACAGAACAAACATCTGACAGGTCACCAAAGCAGCCGGAATGCACGATAGTCACCGCGGCCCCACGCACCCCAGCGGCCCGGGACCCTGCCCCTGCCGCCCCGAAAGCGGCCGGGTCCTCGTGGAGGACACCCACCTCCGGCCAGGAAGGAGCGCAGCCAATAGAAGTCTCGACGGGCGGTGGGTCCTCCGGCTCCCGCCGCCTGCGGCATCGCGGGAGGGGGATCGGCTGCTGCCAAAGCCGCGGTCGCAGCCGCCGCCATTGGTGCCGGCCCGCGTCGGGAGCGTCAACCTAGAATTTACAATCTACCCGCCGGAGCCATGGCCAGAGCGGCGCAGATCGAGTACAGACCGCCGCGCCAACCCGGTGGAATAACACCCGGCTCGCGGCGCGGTGTGATGACGTACTCAGGGGCGGGGCCTGCGCCCGGGCGCACGCTGGAGGTACCCTGTGGCCCCGGCCTTTATCCAACTTTGCCCCACACCTTTGATTTTCAGGCGCTTGTGTTCACACAGAAGGGAAACTTGGTCTGCCAAGAGATCCCTCCAAAATCCATCTCAGAAAGCCATCCCCCGTTCGCTGACCCATAATAACCGCCCGTTGAGCTGGTTTTTGACTTTTCTAAGATGAACCTCTATCAGCTTCTCACTCTTATCAAGAACCCTCAAATTGCGCCATGTCTCACCAGCCAACTCTACGTTCTTCTCAGGGTTTTTCACTGAGCCTGGGTTTCTGCCCTCTCAAAGGTCCAACTAGGCCTCCACTCCAGTCCTATCACCTCTGCCAAAAAAAGTACCGTCAACACTTACTTGGTCTTTGGGACGCTACAAATTGCACGCATACACACACATACACATGCTTTTCAAGCCTTTCTAAATTCGTGCTTTCAAATTCCATCGAGCTATACTCTCCACCAGTTTTTCTTAGGAACTTGCCAGTTTTCTTCTCCCTGGGCATATGTATTCCAAGGCTGTCGCCCAATAATTCTCTGCCCTTTCCAATAATTCTCCTACTATATAACCTTCGCATCACTTCCAGCTTGGGCAAAATTCCTTCCTATTGTTTGTCACGAAAGTTGTTCTGATCCTCTCTTTCCTAAGTCATATGTAATAATTGTTCTCAATATTCTAACTTTCCATATCACTGACAGTGGCCTCTTTCTTATTTTTTGCGTATCTCTGTGCAAGGGATGCCTAAGCACATTTACTCACTAATGATGAGTCCAGACTTCAAATTTATCCACCCCATCATTTCAACTTTTATTTATTTACTTATTTGCTTATTTATTATAGACTAGTTTCTTTTTTTCTTTTTTTTTATAAGATTTATTTGTGCATACAGAACTGGGGTACAGGCCAGAGGCTCAGGGGCAGCGAGAGGCTTCACCAGAGACAGAGTGGGGAGCAGAACAGGCAGATGGACGAAGTACACTGCTGAGGGGAGCAGCAGGCGGGTCAGGAGAGGTCTGCCACGCCATGTGGTCACCTCGGGGGCAGGCGGGAATCGAACTCATGCGGAAGAGGCTTTAGATTCTCAGTGCTGTGCTTTAACCTGCTGCGCCACCAGGGAGGGCCCTATACTAGTTTCTTTTTACATCATTTTGTACATTTTTTCCATCTCAGTTGTAATCCCCGTGGGCTTCCCTCAATTTTTATTTGTTTTTTTAAAAGATTTATTTATTTATGCATACAGACCTGGGTATAGGCCAGAGGTATAGGGCCTGTGAGAGGACTCACCAGAGACAAAGTAGGGAGCAGAACAGGTGGATTGACCGAAATACACTGCTGAGGGAAGCAGCTGGGGAGATGGGAGTGATAAGCTCCTGCCTGGAGATCAAACTCCAGCTGAAGCCACTGCAGACAGCTTTGCAACACTGCACTTTAATCTGTTGTACTACCAAGGAGGGCCCCCATCTTTTCAACTTTTAATTCCTAACAGAAAATATAGACTCATATAGCTATATCATTACTTATATTTTACATGTCTAATGTGAAAATCTAAATTTTGTTAAAGTAGGAATGGATGCACATTGTGAACATAATCAGCGCCATTAAGGTGTACATTTAAAAATAATAAATTAATGGGCCCTCCCTGTTGGTCCAAAGGCTTAAAGCACAGTATTATGAAGCAGTATTGAAGCCACTGCAACACGAGTTTGATCCCAGGCCAGGGAGGTGACCCATCTGTCTGGTCAGCTTCTGGTCATCATAAATCTGCCTGTTTTGCTCCCCATTCTGTCTCTGGTGAATCCTCTCACTGACTGCCCCTGCAGCTCTGTCCTGTAGCCCAGGTCTGTCTGCATGAAATAAATCTTAAAAAAAAAAAAAAAAAAAAAAAACTACCTAATTTTTTATATAATAAAGGAAATAAAGCTGTATTTTCATATTACATAACCAACAAAGTTACCCCAGTTCCAAAGGCTAACACTTATTTTCCCACTGGTACATCTCTTCTACTTTTATCCATAATGAGGTACACTGCACAGTTTCAATTAATCATTTAATAGCCCCCAACTCCAAAATTCAATCCATATCAAGGATGGAAAGAAGGTTGATATAAATGATAATTGACAAATCTACTGATTTAAACATCCAATTATTTTTTCTCCACCTATTTAGTGAGTTACTACTAAACTACCTAACCAATAAATGTTACAGTGTACATGGTCTTGGTCTGTGGGTCTCTTCTATAATTATATTCATTCCCTGAGACCTCAACCTCCTATTTCTAGATACTGTTCATATGGTAATAACTTCCAATTTCTCTCCTCAACTCTTATCGATTTATATTTCCAATATCTTCATCTCTGTATCTACTTAGTACCTATTTAATCACAGCTAACAACAAATCACACCTCTTTCTTCATAAACATGCTCCTCCCACAGACGTCTCTCATTTCATTAAATAGCAATTCTATCCTCCCTGAGTGCATAAACCTTGAGTAATTTCCTAATCAGTATCCCCACTTTCTCTTGCTCCCTGCATGGTGCACGATATTCGTTAACATGTCAGTCAAAGCAATCTTTTAAAACCTAAAGCAGGGCCTCCCTGGTGGCAGAGGGTCTCAGCATGACTACCTGGAAGGCCCCCCCCACTGTGATGCCTGCATTTGATCAGGGCTGACCCACATGGCACAGCAGGCCTTTCCAGTCTTGCCAGCTGCTCCACTCAGCTGTGTGTTTCAATAGATCCCCCTATTCTGCTCCCGACTCTGTCTCTGGTGAATCCTCTCACCACTACCACCACTACTCGCCCTGGCCTACAACCCAGTTCTTCTATGCAAAATAAATAAAAAATTTTTTAAATTTATTTTAAAAATTGGCCCTCTCTGGTGGGGCAATGGGTTAAAGCACAGCACGGAGAAGCTAAAGCCACTTCCTCATGAGTTCGATTCCCGCCTGCCCTGGAGGTGACCACATGGTGTGGCAGACCTCTCCTGACCCACCCGCTGCTCCCCTCAGCAGTGTACTTCGTCCATCTGTCTGTTCTGCTCCCCACTCTGTCTCTGGTGAAGCCTCTCGCCGCCCCTGAGCCTCTGGCCTGTACCTCAGTTCTGTATGAACAAATAAATAAATCTTTAAAAAAATTATTTAAAAAATAAATAAAACCTAAAACAAATCTTATCACTTCTCATTCTAAAACTCTTCCATAACTTCATATTGCTTAGGAAAATTCTTACAGCGTTCTACTGGTTTCACATTATACATATAGTCTCAAATCCTAGAACACACTTCAGTCACACTGGCTTCTTTGCTGTTCCTTATAAAACCAGGTATGCTCCCCCTGAAGGCCCTATACATGCTGTTTCTCCTATCTGTACTGATGTTCCCTCAGATATTGCAGATACTTTCCCCCTCCTCTTTCAGGCCTTTACACAAATATCAACTTCTCAGGGACATCTTTTCTGGTCATGATATTTTAAGTTAACACTCGATTTTTTTCCTCTGCTTTAATTTTAATTTTCCATTGCTCTTATCAGTTTGTTACATACATGTTACATGTAAGATTTATATTATAGGGCCATCCTTGGTGGCACAATGGGTTAAAGTGCAGTACTATGAGGCGATCTGTAGCCACTACAGCATGATTCCAAACCAGGGAGGTGATCCACACGGCTTGGCCGACCTTTCCTGTTCTGCCCGCTGCTCCCCTTATCAGTGTACTTCTGTGTTGATCTGCCTGGTCTGCTCCCCACTGTCTCTGGTGAATCCTCTCATCCCCCACACCTGGCCTGTACTCCAATTCTTATATGCATAAATATTTTTTTTAATTTTTTTTAAGATTTTATTTATTTATGCATACAAAGCTGGGCTACAAGCCAGAGGTGCAGGGGCAGTGAGAGGATTCACCAGAGACAGAGTGGGGAGCAGAACAAGCAGATCAACACAGAAGTACACTGCTGAGTGGGCTGGTCAGGTCATGTCCGCGGTGGGCGGGGACTGAATTCATGCTGAAGTGGCTTTGGCTTCTTAGTGCTGTGCTTTACCCCAATGTGCCACCAGGGAGGGCCCCTATTTTTTCAAATTTTTAAAACATCTCTTTAAAAAAATTTTATTATATATAAAGTGCTTTTATTGTCATTCCTCTACCACTAGAATATAAGTTCCATGAAGGTGGGGTTACCTGTTTTGTTTATTGCATATGTCATTTGACACTGAATAACTGATGACTCACAACTCGTCATGGATACATGTGCAGATTAATACCTTCTCTGCCCTTTACTTTTATTTATTTTTTTAAAGATTTATTTATTTATGCATACAAGAACCAAGGTACAGGCCAGAAGTGGGGCTTGGGGAGGGAGTCACCAGAGTCAGAGAGCAGAACAGGCAAATTGACTGAAATACACTGCTGAGGGGAGAAGCAGACAAGACAGAAGAGGTCTGCTGTGCCATGTGCGTAACCTCCTCTGCCAGGGATCCAGCTCACAATGCAGTGGCTGCAAATAGCTTTATAGTGCTGTGTTTTAACCCCTTGTACCACTAGGGAGGGCCCTGTCCTTTATTTTTAGAATATCTAACAACTGGTGGCCAAAAGCTAAAGAAGTGAAGAAAAACCAGTCCCTTTCCTCAAAGAATTTACTATTTCATGGGGTGAATGTGACCCTAATAGAAAATAAATGTGATACACAATTGAAAGTGGGGATACAGAGTAAAGATAAGCCATATTCATTAGTGGTCATCAGGAAGAATTAAACTGTCCTTTGACTTAGCTAACTATGGGCCAAGTTGCACATGCACACACACACACACATCACACACATAATACATAAATAAGGATTTATTTAAATTCATTTAAAGAACAAAAAGATAGTTCAGTTTACCTAGTTTAAGGTCCTTAGTTCACTCACCAGCAACATTA